ACAAAAAATCTTAACGAACAAGCTGTTTCAGTTCTGCTACTTGCAGCTCATTTCTTATTTGTACAAAACATTATTCTCTCAATTCTCAGTCTAGATCGGATGTTCCGTTTTGAAGAGTAGTGCTTCAGTCTTTTTAAATTAACAGCTTTCCTTCAGGATTTTCACTGCTAGCTAGTCATTTCCTACAGCAGGCTTCATGCTCAGGCAGTGCGATAAAGGAGAGAAGTTGCCTACCAGTAACTTTTTTTTCTGAATGTATTGCCTCTCTAGATTTATCCTGACCCCTCTTGTTTGGAGAATTAAGAGATGTATCCAGAGCTGGAAGTTGACAGGTATCTAGGGTGTGAGAGCATCAGTTTAAATTACTCAGTTCCTGTGTCCATGCTCCCCATTACAATTGCAAGTGTGGCTATCTTTGTGTATTACATAAAGTTTTAAGTAATACATGATATTTAAACAGTTGCTATCACTTTTTAGTATTAAGATGCACAAAGTATAAACACCCCCCAGTAGTTCCATTATTTAAACAAGTGTACGGGGTTTTAATTGTAGTAAGGTTCTCCTCAGTGACTAACAAAAATGTGTAAAGCTTGTTCTTGTTAGCATGTCTTTCCTGGGTTTGTATGAGGCGGAATATTGGAGTTCCCCTGTTTCAAATAATGTCTCTATTCATTCTCTACAGGATAGCTGATAGTAAAAAAAATTTATTTTATTTTTTACTCCCCAGATGTCTTTTTCTCTTCCTTTCCCTAACTTCATACTTATAATTTATGGTTACTACCAGTTCTCCCAGTGTACTGACTCCCTTCCGCAAGTTACCTGCCTGTGATGGGTCCTGTTGTTGCCAAATGGCACTCTGATAAAAGCGGCATTTTCAGCTTCGTCATTAGTTTGCAGTCTTGTAGCCAACTTAATAACTAAGGCAGAGGATTTTTGCTAAAGCAGGTGGCTGGGGGATGACTGAAAAGTTGACTTCTCTTCCTTTTGTGTATCTCCTGAATCTCTCTGAGAGACGAAAAGTAAACCAAGTATTCTAGGTTGCCTGAGCTCCCTTATCCCTATTACAGTGAAGATACCTGGCCGCTGCGCTGTGGCAGGCCACCAGCTGGCTTCTGACATGCTATTCACTGTACTATATTTTACAAGTTGTTGGAACAGCATATTTTTTCCAATTTTTAATTATATTTGCATCCAGTGCACAGAGTGCATGTACCCTTAGTATAAAAACATGTTGGTAGTTTAGGATAGTGTCCAATAAATTGATCCCTCATAGGTCCACTCTACTGCCTCACATGAAAACTCTCCCTCTGGCCCAGTCCATTTGCTCCTCTTTCCCCAGTGCTCAGGAAAAATTTTAGAAAACAAATAGGCCTTGTAGAGAGCTCTGGAAGTAAAATAATACTTTCAGCTGAAGCAGATTCCACAGTCCAGAAGCCCTCACTTGTAAATGTCGTCCTTCCGTCTTTTCTCTGTGACACTAGCGGCTGTTTGCCTCATGTGATCTCAGAGGTATCTCATGGGGGAAAGGTAGTGTGAGGTAACCAGGAGCCAACTCATTTAAGGCCTAATTAGAGAAAATAACCGTAAATTTCACTAAGAAATTAACAGGAAGCTCTAGTCTCACTGCATTAATTCTAATCCAGTACTAACTGGAAAAAGTCAGGAATCACCATAGTAGAATCTACAGCTTTATGGCTAAGTAGAAATGAGAAAAATGTATTTTTGGCCACTGCTGCTATGTAACTATCCAGAAGTACGTGGGGATCCAGCATGATCCCCACCCCTCCACCCCCATATTTTGAGCTTGAATAGCACAAAGTGAGCACTCTTACTATTCTTTTGTTTTCTCATGTGTGTGCCTTTTGCAGTTAAGTAAAACCAAGAATATCAAGATATGCCATACACGGTTCTTGAATTTCTGTAATCCCATTTACAGACCACAGCTCATCCACATGGTGTTCCTAAGTAATACATTTTGCATTTGGCTTTCTGACTTCTTTGAAACATGTAAAGACTGAGGAACATTCACAGCTCCCTATTGGATTACACATCTGAGGAGCTTCAAAAGCTCAAATTAATCTTTTCCGTGTGAGTGAAAATGTTAGTTTGCTAAATTGGCTCAAAAAGGTCTGCCACTTTTTATGGTAATATAGAACTTTATGATTTTTGCACAAAACCACTCTGAGGGTCTGTCATCACAAAGATGGAGGAGATAATGCATAATGTTGATATCCGTTACTAAAATGACTAACTGGGCTCACATTCAGAGATGTGCTTCATGATTATGATAGCAGAAATTGGATCCAAATGTTGAGAAGTTTTGAGTGTAACAAATTTAAGCTTGTCCAGTCAATTTCCTGAGTTTTATTATTCTAATGGCATATGCATAATGAATAACTGGCTTATCAGTGTAAACACTATCAGACTTACTTAAAAGCTCTGCCTACTGCATTATCAATAAGTAATTAACAAAAATAACTTATCTAAGTAAATACGCAGCTCTAAAGATATGTAGTGATTTTTTTATGGTCTCACTGAGATTAGTTCTTAGTGATCTTTGCAGATTACATACTCATTGAAACGCTGGCATACTAAGAAAATATATTAGCTATTGCTAATTATAAAAGACATGTCTGAAATGCCTTTATTTTAAGCTCCAAGTGCAGGGCATAAGTGGATGCAGTTCTTACAGATTTCACTTCATTTTAATAAATTTGATCCTCTATTTCCAGTGTTTTCCTGTGTGCCGAAAGCAGATTTGCAATTGTTTTCTAATACACAGTTATATTTAGAAATCCAAAGGGTTTTTTTGGCTCATGGAGTTGTTTCTGTTTACTATTGCATTTATCACAGTAGGACAGTCCTCTCTTCTTTCATAGGCTATGGGGAAATTTTCAGTGACTGAGTACCCAAAAATCTCTTTCAAGTAGCTATAGATGGAACAGTTTAATTTCAAGTGAGGTTGGTACCTCAGACACCTGCCTCAAGCCAGAGCTCATAAACTAAAAACTAATATCCATCCACTCTCAAAAATCTCTTTGGAGACATGTATCATACTAATTTTGGCAAAGTATACAAGCATCTTCTAAGAGAGAGTAAGCAGAGAGACACTGTGGGATACTTTTCAGTGATTTGTTTTGGCTAGACATATTAACCTCAACTTTATTTGTGTAGCAGCTCATACTCCGTTTCAAAGGACAGTATAAACCTGAGGATTTAAAAGTTTTATATTAACCCATACTGGAACTTGGGTTCCCACAACCAATGTTTAAGTATTAAAGCGTAACGTAATCCTCCTAATTATGATTTGTCAGGAGCCTTCAAAATAAGAAAAGTTATATAGCAATTTTTAAAAAAAAAATTCACTTCCCCAATTAGGGGCCTCACTTAATGGTTGCAGACCCCGATCCTTGTTATAGAGAAGAAGGGTTTGCTTCATCATTAGAAGGGAACGCCTTGGGATGGGTTCAGGAGCTAGAAGGGCCTGACAGAGGAGGAAACTACTTTGGCAAGAGCTTAGGGATTAGGCAAAGATGGGAGGGAAGAGATGAATTCTTAGTGTTACTGGGAGGAGAGCCCTCAGTAGGTATAGCTGAAATGGTATTTTATTACTTCCTTCCGGGCTTGGTGGTACATATGTAGCACTACCTCTTTGTGAGCAACTGTGAAGGCTTTCCTCACCAAAACCTAAAAGTCACTGATCTAAAGATCTTGGACATGGAAACCAACTACAGACAAAATTGTATACAGGGTTTAAACTAACACTTGCCACACTAGTTTTGAGAAGCTAGTGGGTAAAAAAAACAGGAATTTCAGTTAATCAGAACAGAACTTATATTTTTTTCTGACACTTCAGATATGATTTATTTTGATAGTGTAAGTAATTAAAAACAGAACTAGTTCTGTAAACAGACTTTCATTACAAGAAAATTATATTCTTTAAACTTTTGTAGCGAAAACTGGCATATTGCATTCAATGTAATAGAAAAGGAGAGTGCAGAAATAACGCTGATTGTTTTATCTGATAGTTGAAATATAGTATCTTAATATTTTGAAGTTTTTACACAAGCTCTGACGTTTAGCTTGCTTAATGTAATTGTTTTTCTTTTGTAAAGATTTGAGCTGTTTCCTTCTAGCATAATTTAAAATATATTGTATATTTTGCATTAACCAGGACACGAAATATTTTATTTCAGACTATGCTTTCCCCATGTGGTACTATGGCAAATGAGATCAGCTATAGTGCTCAGGGTGTTTTCAGTGAAGCATCAACAACATTGTAAACCACTCCCTCCCCACCCTGCCACCCATATTGATCTGAATATGTTAACTTTCAGGTCACTGGGCAAAACTTTTTTTTTTTCTCCACCATGTCTTTTCTGGGCAAGTGGCTGAATGTTTTGTGTTGGATGACGAGCTTCTAGTTTAGGTCTGTTTGAGGATTTCATATTTGAAACATTAGTCCTAATTTTTAAGTTGTGTGTATATATACCCACAGCTTCACATAGGTGCATTTTAAATTACTAGATATACATAAATTCCTACAAGAACATTTGATACATTATACAGTTCCTAAAATGTGGGAGTAAGGTGGCAGCAGGGAGAAGATAGCAGGAGGAAGTTGAAATCATTGGGGTCTTCAGCCCCAGCGGAGAGATGATGTAGATGATGATTAGCAAGGGAAGGCACATAAAGCTAATAAGTAGAGCTGTGTGAATAACTGAATTTTCAGCTCGCAGGCAGTTTAGAAAAAATGGGGGGAGGGAATCATTTTGGGTTTAACAGAATCTGACAATTGTGGAAAATTTTGGCAAATCAAAAAAATCCACTTTGAGTTGAACGCATCCTTTGGCCTAGGGAATAAATGGATAATTTATTCATCATTAGAATTGAACCAAGTAACTTACTTCACTAGTAGTATGATGCACTTGGACATGTGTTTTAATATTTCCCCCACTTTCGTAATCAGTAGTTTAATTGGGTTCCTTTGATCATTCTAGAGGTGTGTTTGATGCTTCTCTCAAAATGGCTGGGTTCTATGGACTGTACACCTGGCTCACTCACACCATATTTGGAATTAATATTGTCTTCATACCATCAGGTAAGAACCAAAACAAATGTTATTTATTTTACAGATGGTAGCTATGTATCCTTTTATTGTGCAGTGGCAGTAGTGATTAAATATTGCCCGTAAAAAGACCTTTGTTTGAAATATTAATAATTACACATGCAAACTATGCTAAAGGAACTTTAAGATTTCAAATTCAAGCACTCAGAAGTAAGGAAATGCCAGAACTAAGGTTTGTGGTGCGGTCCTAGGCTCACCAGACATCTTGTCCTAATCTACTCCTTTCCCTCCAACAGTCCAGTTTTTGACCCTTCTGCAATAAGACTGCTTCCTTTCCCACGCTTTGAGAGTGCAATTTGGGGGTTGTCATAAAGAGCACAGGAGAAGGGAGGCTTTTTGGTGTCGGCGCCATTGCGGAGCAGCCGCAATGGAGGAAATCTGTCTTTGCTCCTGTAGCCCTGGGCTAGAGAGAGCATGTGGTCTGTGGGGATGGCATATGCAAAAGCCTGTCTCTCACTAACACGCACACAAGCTGTGAGGGAATGAAGCATGCTTGCTCACTCTGTTGCGTTGGCGCATGCCCCATCTGACATTAGCAGCTGTAAGAGTCTGGAGCATGCTCAGTGAGGACAGAATCTTTTTTTTAGCACCTACATTCTCTGAAATCTCTACTTTTCAAAGACTTATAGGTCAGTCAAATTTGGGCATACGTCCTGGGGACAGCAAAAGCCACATCCCTGACAGATTTCCAGTCCCTGCTCTAAAGCATGGGATGGTAGAGCTGTTCAAAGAATTTTTTCCTAGCCTCATTCTTGGAAATGCTGAAGCTTTTATTAAAGGGGGGGACGGACGCGGAGGCCCACCTGAGACAGGCAGATGGCATGACATGTAAAATTTCAGTGGAAATGGTTAAAGTTTAGCAAAGTTGTAAGCAACTGAAAACAGGGCCTTTAAAAAAGGGAAGTGTTGGGCAACCGTAATAACAGGTAGCTTTTTTTTAAATTTCCATATTTCTGATCACAACTGTATTGGTGTATAAATAGTACTCCTGGGGGCATTCTGTGCCAAAAAGTAAAATTCTGTGCACAATATTTTAAAATTCTGCACAATTCTACAATGTTTTTGTCAAAATAACACTACATAATCACGCCAATTTCAATTATTTTTGTGATTTATTTCAAAATACCTGTCAGTAAGAATGTCTGTAACAATAGACACGCACAAAGATTCCCCCAGAAGTAGAGTTAAAGAAATGTCTGACAACCCAGTTCCTGTTTCTCTGCTCCCTTCCCCCGCCCAGAGCCCAGCTGCATGCCTCCCCACCCCCCCAGCCAATACACCTGAACCCCCCCCCCCCCCCCCGGGCCCCGCCCCGGGGGGGGCCCCCTTTGCCCAGATACCCTTCCCCCCCCCCCCCAAGTTCAGGGATCCAGAGGGAGAAACAGTCTGATGCTCAGTCCTAGGCTTGCATGGAGTTTCCGAAGCACTACCCTTTCCGTCCCTCAGTATGTGCTGGGAACTGCAGCTGTCAGGAACCCTTTAGCTCCATCCCCCTCCCGCCAGCAGTGTCTTCTATGTGTGAGCTGGGCTCTGCTGGGTCTAGTGGCCCCTAGTGGTAGCCAGCAGCGCTGCAGCCCATTTCTGTGGGGGAAAGGAAATTCTGCGCACACAACGTTAATTTCTGCAAAATTCTGCACCACTGCACAATTCAGAATTCCTCCAGGAGTAAAATAGAAGTTTCTACCTTGGGTTGAAAAGACTGCTTCTCCTGCTTGTTTTTTATTCACATCCATTTTTATGTCACAATCAAACATTTTTGATATGGAAAGAATTTAGGTATCAGAATTTTGGAGAGGGAGTAATAACCAAAAAAAGGAAGAGTTGTATACTCCAAAGGCCTGATCTGCAACTTTTTTTTGTGCCTTCTTCCAAGTGGTCCCATTGATTTAAATGGGGCTATTTGCACAGTAAAAGTGGCAGAATCTGACCCGAAGTATTTTTTGTAAAATATTATGTTTTCTGATCTCTCCTTCCTAACTTCTGACTTACGATGTACTCTATTATGTTAGCATTGGCAGCAATCCTTGGAGCTGTTCCATTTCTGGGAACATACTGGGCAGCTATACCTGCAATTCTAGATCTGTGGCTCACCCAGGGAGAAGGATGCAAAGCCATTTTGCTCTTGGTTTTTCACCTGTTGCCAACGTACTTTGTAGACACAGCAATCTACTCAGATATATCGGGGTAAGTGTCTCACTGAAGACCTCTCAAAGCATGCTATTTTTTTTATGTTGGATCACATTCTTGCCTTAATTAACTTTTGTCCAAACTATAGTGGTGTTTTCAGTGTTTTAAGCACATGAACAGGTTTATTGAAACCATATACTAATGATAATAATAAACTAATAAATCTTACTTTTCAGAATGTCAGTAGTACCACAACACTCTCCTCTCTACCCAACCAGTCAGCAGTAGTCTGCATGTTTAAGTCTTACATCATACCCTGAAAGTCAGCCATCTCTGGCTTTGCTTGAGCAAGAACGGAAACAAATACAGGAACATAGGAATTGCCATATATACTGTATCAGACCAATGGTCCATCTAGTCCAGTACCTTCATTCTAGAATGACCAGTACGAGATGCTTCAGAGGAAGGCACAAGAAACCCAGTAGTAGGCAACTATGGATTAATCAGTCCATAGTGATCGTTTCTTCCAAACTCCCTTCATGTGGAGGTTGAATTATGATCTGTACTGCATACAGGTGTGGTTGCCTCATCTCAAAAAAGATATACCGGCATTAGAAAAGGTTCAGAGAAGAGCAACTAAAATGATTAGGGGTTTGGAACGGGTCCCATCTGAGGAGAGATTAAAGAGGCTAGGACTTTTCAGCTTGGAAAAGAGGAGACTAAGGGGGGGATATGATAGAGGTATATAAAATCATGAGTGATGTGGAGAAAGTGAATAAGGAAAAGTTATTTACTTGTTCCCATAATATAATTTTATTTGGTGGCCCCTAGTTCTTAATGGGCAGCAGGTTTAAAACAAATAAAAGGAAGTTCTTCATACAGCGCACAGTCAACCTGTAGAACTCCTTGCCTGAGGAGATTGTGAAGGCTAAGACTATAACAGGGTTTAAAAGAGAACTAGATAAATTCATGGAGATTAAGTCCATTAATGACTGTTAACCAGGCTGGGTAAGGAATGGTGTCCCTAGCCTCTGTTTGTCAGAGGGTGGAGATGGATGGCAGCAGAGAGATCACTTGATCATTGCCTGTTGGGTTCACTCTCCCTGGGGCACCTGGCATTGGTCGCTGTCGGTGGACAGGATGCTGGGCTGGATGGACCTTTGGTCTGACACAGTATGGCCATTCTTATGTTAAGTAGGAGTACCAGAGTTTGGGGCTCTCCTTAAGAATGTTCTGGCATTAACCAACAGATGTAAAAATCTAGGGACTACAAGTCAGATTTTTTTAAGGTATTTAGATCCCTAAAGATATAGTTAGGCACCTAGCCCCCATTGTAGGAGTTCAGAACCTACATGCTGTTAGAAGTCCCACTACGCACCTATCTGCAACTTGAGGCACCTAAATACCTTTTAAAACGTGGCCATAACAGCTTGATCTTCCCTCTGATTTCAACTGTTGAGAGAGAAGAGAAACTCCAAACCTATGTAGGGTCAAATCCAAACCCTTCAGTTGCATCCAGAATAATAAGCAGGCAGCTGAAACTTTCAACTTTCCAATTAAAGCTCGTTGCAGTGATCTAGTCTGGAGGTGACAAAAATAACTCTGGTTGAGGTCCACATCTGCAAGGAATAGTCACAACCTTGTAGTGATGTACAGATATAAAAATATGTTCTTAGGCACTGCTGCTGTCTCTGCCTTTAGGAGTAATTGTACATCTAGTATAACTCTAAAATTATTTTAGCCAGATGCTGGAACAGCTTAATTTTTATTATAATGCACCTAGGGATGTTCATCAAATCAAAGCATTAGGTAGACTGTTTATTTCTATTCTGTGGGAAGACCAGATTTGCCATAGTCTTAAAATCTTTTGGTCTCATCCAACTGGGCCAGGTAATGATACTGTGCAGAGAGAACTGGTCCTTGAAAATATACGTAGTCTTAAGTTTCTTCAGACTATTGCACTGGTTGCTTTTCTCATGAATTTGTTCCAGTAAGTGAAGTATAAATTACTACTGTTCTCCAATGATAGATTATTTATGCTTGTAGGGACAGTGGTCATTAAAAAGCCAATCACCTCATTCTTCCATTTAGTCATTAGAATTTTTTCAGCTGCGATGAGATGGCTCTGTTTACTGCCTATAAAATGCCTCTGATAGAGATGAATTTACTAAGGGTTAGAGAAGAAACCCTACTGTTCCCATTAAATAAAACACAAACACTCTGCTGCATTGTAGATTCGATTAAGTGCATTAGAAATAGCTATAATTGGGTTATGCAGGGTTTTCTAAATGTATAAATGGATATTAGTTGTATCTCATCAGGCAACTTGTTGCAGCAGCTGCCTATGTAATTTAACAACCTGGACCAAAAAAATTAAAGTTGACACAACCGTTGAAAAAATTTACAAAGAGTTAAAGAATTCAGCAATTAGTCACAAGTCCACTTTTTTTTAATGAGGGTAACAAAAGGTCTGTCTAAATCCCACCCTCTCATAATCAAATTATCTACTCCTGCCCCTGCTGCATATTAGATCTGATTTATGTCACAAGTGAAGCTGAGTTGTTATGTTTTGAGCTCCCACTCTGTGCAGTAGTGACAAAGATCAGAACAGCAATAGTGCAGGTGGCATAAGTCGGGACTGTGGTGAGTCTTTGGTGCTTTGTGTAGAAGTTTGACCGCAACCGCCAGAACTCTGCCTGACTAACCAATATTCTCATTCCCTTATATTCAGTTCCAAAACCACCCCTCAAAATGTGTACTACTTATTTTACTGCAAGCTTCTCCACACAATTCCTTATTTATTGTCAGTATGCTAGCTTATGTGCTGTAAGTATGCGGAGCAGGCTAAGTTTTGTTTTTTGCATAATACTGTTGGTTGGGTTTTAGTTTTGTGCTTTGGAACTGTTCCATTTAATTTGAACTGCTAAAGTATGGCAGTGGGGGGAGGTACAGATAAAATATTCTCATTTTGACCCATTTTTAATCATCTCTTTAGGACACATCACTTAGGAGTGGTTTCCAGATGCTAGATTAATTACTTGCGGGGGGGAGGGGGGGGTTGTGGGGGGGGGGGGTGTGTGTGTGTGCGTGTGTGTTTGTGTTTGTTTTTTACTAGGAGTGGTAGAAAGTTTTGAAATTTTGAATAATTTTTTCCCTGATGTTTTTAGATATGTTTGAAATTTTCCCTCCTCTTTTTAAACAACTATGGAGCAAGTTTTAATTTCAAGTTTCAGCTTAATTTTGAATTTAAAAGGAAACTTTTTGAAAATAATCAGATATTCCTCCTTTTTCCCTAACCCAGCTGTACTCATGGATGCTTTTCCATCGTGCATTTGTGTGTGGGATCGTGCCAAGTCTTTAATTATGTGGTTACCTCCCTGCAAGTGGCTCATTTGCCATCTTTTATTTGTAGTGTTGGCTTCTTCTGTTGTAGGATTTCCTTAGCGAAGCAGGGCTTTAGTATTGGCAGTATTTCGAATGGCAGCTTTAGTATTGCTGTATAGAACAGTGATAGGGGTGAGAGCCAGGCCTCAACACATAAGGGCATCATCTTTGAGATACTTGCTACAGTCTTTGAGAGCAGTTATTAGGCTGCTCCCAAGCCTGTGTTTCCTAAATGGCTTTATGATATTTTCATTCGTTTATCCATTACCATTCTGCAAATAAAAACGAATTCCAATGAGAGAATATGAAATGTTGTGAATCTACAAACTACTCTTGTTAGCATGTGTACAGTTTAGGGCACACATGACATGTCATCGTTTAGTAATTAGAGGTTACATGAAGACACATGTTGCCAGCCATCTTATAAATTGTCATCAAAAATCTTTACAAAGATTGTGTTTTATGATTAGCCTTGAGCATTTCATTTTGAAATCTGAAGCCTACCTAGAGTCAACTACTTGTAACAGAGACTGTTCCTTCTTCAATATGTGGAAAGTTTCTACTGCATTGTGGACATTACCAAGATCAAATACTAAATAATACTGGAATGTTTGTACTCGCAACATTTATAGCAATCTGTAGTTCCATCAGCTTGATATGCTAAATAACATTTGCTAATCAATCCACATTTCCATAAATGATATTATTTGCTGTTATAAAATATTGCTTTATAGTAACTTATTCTCCTTATGCTGTAATTCCAGAGGTGGCCATCCCTACCTGACAGGCCTCGCAGTAGCTGGTGGAGCATATTACCTAGGATTGGAAGGAGCCATCATAGGACCCATACTGCTTTGTATACTGGTGGTTGCCTCTAACATATACAGTGCCATGTTAGTGAGTCCAACAAATTCAGTTCCCACCCCATCACAAACACCATGGCCTCTGCAGATATATCAGTAAGTAGATTAGTGTGATGTGAAGTGAATCACAGACCGTGTAAAAACAAACAAACTTATTATGAATAGGAAACTATTCATTGTGGGTTTGCGAAAGGGTTTTAGGAAGAACTTGTTATTCTATAATACTCTAGAAGTAAAAACTAGGGGGTGGATTGTGGTTTCAAAGCAGTGTAAAGAATGTGACTGCAACCATTGATATAAATAACATAAGGGGGCAAGATTAGCAATTGTGGGCTTGATCCTGCATTTTACTCATATGTATAATACCAATATCTCCAATGGGGGCTACTCACATGAACAAAAAATAAAGAATAGGTCCCATGGCAAACTTCTGTCTAGTTTTGCAATTTACGTTCTAAAGCTTTCCATGTTTATGCAGTCTCACAATATACGGTAATCTTGCAACTATGCATTTTATCATCCTCTTCCCTTTGTTTGTTTGCTCTCCCTTAGTAAGTGAATATTTTCTTTCAGGCCATCTAGAGAGAGTCCTGAAGAGATGAAAATGGCCACAGAGTGAGATTTACACTATCTTGCACCTGATCAACATGAAGTTGTCACACTCTTCTACCTGAATAGAGTTCAGAACAGTTGTGGCCTTCTGTCCCTCTTCCAGCTGTGCCTAGTGACAACTCATAGTGAAGCACAGTTTAAAACAAACCCTCACATCTGCTGGCCTTACATTATTAAGCACTTTGCCTTTGCAAGAGAGACTGTCTGCTTCCCATCACTTTGCATATTAACACATAGACTTAAAGTTCAGATGCCTTGTATGTAGATTTTTTTTCTTCACACAAAGATCTTAAGAAGGACAAGTAATATCCACTGAATCAAGGATGCCATCTGCTGAAATGACTAACTTGGCTTTTATTTCTTTGGATGTTTGCATTATTAGACTTTTAGTAATTTTAAACAAGTTAAACCCCCAAGTCTTTTGTTGCTGAAATCTTTAGTTGATCTAAGGGTGTATTTACTTGTAGAGATGCTAAAACTTTTAAAAGTGTGAAGCACCTGCTATTAAAAGAAAATATAGTATAATTATCTGCTGCTTCTCAAAGCATTTCTTTTGAGGTGTGACAGTCACCATTCAATTAATAACACTTGAAGCTTATTTATGCATACACTAATAGTGTTTATACTGTCAGGGAGTGATGCTTCCACTTGCAGATTGTGTTAAGTGTAGGTTATCCTCACGTGGAATAGGAGTATTTGTAAAAACAGTTTAATCCTTGAGTTCACTTTTGCAGTTAAACTTAGTTCTGTTTTGGTTTATTGATAAAGCTTAATTTAATGCACCAGGGTCTCAGTAAGATGATGTACACGAAGTCCCAATGGATTCTTGCCAAATTTAACCAAAGGACTTAAATATTTTCAGGCAGAAGTAATATTGGATTACCATGTCTAATTACAGTATTTGGAAGATGCCTAATGATTGTGTTCGCACAATTTTTTATTATTCTCATTTATTGAGAAGTAATAATCAAGAAGGTGAGAGATGATGGGGGAAGGGGAAAAGCACAAGACAAGCAGAGATCTCAAATTCCTAAAATGTCGTCTTGTCCTGGGCACCAAATTGAAGTACACTAGAGCTTTTTTTCTTTTCCCTTCCCCCAAACTGTAGTTGGCTTTAAATTGCAGTTTTAGTGGCACTGAAGGCTTTTCATACCTTGGTTATTGATGCAGGTTTGAAATAGTGGTTTATTGGCACCAAAAAAGTAATTAAATTATTTTTGTGTAAGTTCTTAGACTCAAAAGACAGATACAGCAAGCAAAAATTTTTACCCCAAATACTTGGTCAAAGAATACACTCAGATCATCAGGCACCAGGTACAATACAAATAAGCTGCTATGTAGGTGATATGGTTTTCTTTTCTTTTTTTAATACCAGAGCAAAACCATTCCATTCCTGATTGACTCTACCTTGAATTTATTACAGGGTTTCTTCTTTTCTGATTTATACAAAATACAGGCCATGTCATGCACTTCATCTCTCCTTGCATTATAAAACAGCTATAGTACAAATCTGTCCATATCATAGACCCAAGTGAGAGAGGTTGTTCTAGATCGCTACTAGTTTTTTGATGTGACCGTACATGTATTTATTGATAATATTTCTAAGACTGGATCCTTTGTGCCCTATGTATTGCAGTGTTTTGAGATCAGTTCAGTGTGCTGCAGTGCATGGGCACAATATGTGTAGTTCTGGATGGAGTAACTGCCCTAACTTTGAATTTCCTTGCTTCTGTGGAACAAAGTTAGACCCTTTACATTATTCAACGTCATTTTGTTTCATAAATGACAATTATAGAAAAAGTCAGGATCTCACTAAGAGTATCAATATTCCTGTAGTATACAGACCAGTATATGAATGATAGACTATAATTGCTCGTGGAAATTGCTACGTTCTGTTATGTTAGTGTATGCTACCATGCTGAGCAGCATTACGTATCTGTTTCGGTTAATAGGTCATTGTGTACCCAGGCAACTTTTGAAAAGGGTTGTCACTTGAGAGAAAAATGCTTAAAATGTATACAATTAACAAGAATCCATAAGCTTTAATATTTTTACACTTTTCTCTTGCTGCTTTTTGCTCACTATTAAAGATTGTGTTAAGTGTTTTCTACATTAGATAGCATGTTCACATCTAACCTGATCTTTCATAACCCTGTATTACTGAATTTGTGATGTCAGTCATTTCCATGCTACCAGATAGTGATGTCATAAACAAAGGCTGATTTCTTTACTATAATCACAGAGAAGAATCGCTGATATGAGAGGAGAGTTCTTTCTCAAACACAAGTATCTTCAATAATAGCAAAAAAAATTAATAAACGGAGAAGACATGTTGTTGCTATTTTGAAATGTTCCTTTCCCAATGTGAAAAAAAATCCATCAGTGTGTATAGCATTGATACGATACGCATTGTCTACTTGTTTTTATGTATGCGTTTTTTTTAAAACAAATACTTGAGGCTTCCAGTCTCCAACTTCAACTAATATTTGCCATTAATAACACAATAAAGCTGTAAATCCACAGTAAACCTAGATTTAAGATCCCAGACTTTGTGCCATGTCTGTATCCGAGGAACAAAGACTGTGTCCCATGTCCCTTTGAGGCATCAGGCTCAATGACAATATAGTAATGAGTCAACTCTGCTTTTAAAATTACCATGTCAAAATACTCAATCACCCACATGCTTACTTAACAAATGTAAAAAATCAGAAACTTTACATATAGATGCCTTATGGAAAAGTATGGTTTTAACATAATGTCTGTTAGTGTTCAAAAAAATAAATTGTCACTAGGATCTAATGACCTGCACATTTTCATTTTTAACATCCATTTTCATTTGTGGAAACATACATCTGAAATGGTTTTTTTAATCAACTTTCCAGCAACTTAAAAATTACCAAACTAATTTTATCCATGTTGTTCTTTTAAAAAAGGGGGAGCAAAGGGGATGGGAAGAAAAAACAATTCTGAATATGATACTTTGTATGAAAAGCAACATCTTTGAGTAATTTTTAACACAGTTATAGATCCCAGGAAAAATGATTTATAGACCCTTCTTTGTGCAGTGGCATTCTGAATAGGGCGCTCCCTCTACTCCATATTTATAGCCTCTATAACAATGAGGCTTGATTTAGAATAATAGTCAAAGTAAACACTGTGTGTGCAAGTACAAAATCAGTCATGTTAATGAGTTGTTAAAGGAATGCTTATATTTTTATTGGTTGTCATGAGATGGTACTCAGCAGTGAAATAATGATGACAACATAAGGTGTGTCAGCCATGATGCTGTCATGTTTTTCTAGCACATTAGGTTTATCCTAAGTACAAAGTTATCAATAGCTCTATGGTACTAATGGTTTTTAGCATACATTTCAGTAGATTTATTTCCTCCTTTTTTTATTAAATTGGAGTGTTTAGGCACATGAATTTTAGTTAATGGTTATTGGATTAGGAAACCAGTAATATCTTACAAAACTGCAGACGGCAATAAAAAAAATTGTAGAAAATTTAACTGCTGTCTCCAGTGTTAGCATTTAGTATGTTTATCTTAATTTCCAAAAAAAAAAGTTAATACGGCAAAAATGTTAAATCCTCTATTAAAAAGACGGAGCCTAAATTCAACAGTAACACCTTTGTAAAAAAATGTAAAAGAAAATTCGGTCCTCATCTCCTTTAAAAAAAAAAAAAATTGCTGCAGTGCTAATCCCTAGTACTAGGGTCATTAGACTACTTTATAAGGCTGTCTCCCCAGTAGACTTAATACAGTGAGGCTGGAAGGACACCATGATGCAAGTGTCCAAGATGGCACTTCACGTCCCTGAGTGGCAGAATGCCTTCATACATATATACACTGTTTGTATTGTGTGTGATATGTCTGCTTAGACGCAGACACTCTCACTCCAGAGCACAATGCTGGACTTATGGTAACTACTGTGAAAATGGACTATACTTTTTTTAATACATTAGCATTAAAGATGTGTATTTTTTTTAAATTAAACTTAGAAGACTTTATGGTTAATATCGACAACAACATTTAATTTTCTGTAGACCGTTTCAGGGAAGCCTGTAGTCTTAAAAGAAAGAATAATGGTTTCCACTCTTCTAGTTACAGTTGACATGCCTTAAACCTACAGATGGATCTTCTCCAGAACTCACTTCTTATTTGGTTTATTATATGAGAGTAAAAAGTATTTTGTCTTCCTTTTTGGGCACTCCAGTGAATTACAGAATGTAACAATGCAATTCCCCTTTCATTCCCAAGTTTTCTGTGAAATAAAATGGCCTATAGTTTTTAAAGTCATGTGGATTTAATCTTTAATCGGGCATTGTTTCTTACTGTCAGTTTTAGTCAGGTTCCTTCATGCTTTATGATGAATGTGTACAAGTATTTTATGAAGGTAAAGCAGGTATTTTATGAAGTGTGAAAAATGAGCTAAGTGTTTTTAAAAATCAGAAGTAATGAGGATATTCAAGGATTCCACATTAGTTTTTTTAAGTGTATACATATTAACATAGTCTGTTTTTCTTCAAATTATTTTTAACTGACAAACTTTCTTTTGTGATTCCTAGGAATAAAATGTTGTGTTGCCTGTGTATATAGTAGAGAAAAACATTTTCTGGAACTGTCTATATATGGCATACAATAAATAGGTAAAGAGCCTGGGGAGAAACTAGCAAATATCTGATCAGGTGACTCAATAAACTGTTCTGATGTAATAGCGGTACAAAACTAGTCAACACCAGTCTTTCTAGTAACAGCTCAAGAACCAGAATTTAGAACCTATTGGTCCTGAAAGTAGTTGCACTGGTCCACCAGAGCACTTCTAGCCTTAATAGGTCATGAAATATCAGGCTTTCAAATCCCCAAATGTTGTTACTCTTTTTTTCCTCCCTCACTTATAGAATGACATTTTAGTATCTGGTATTTATGAATTACTAGAATTGGAGATTATTGCTTTATGCCTTTTGTAAAATAGGTTCCAAGATTCAGAGGGTATGCTGCTACAGCAGTCGGTCTGACGCAAGAAAGCATTTCTCTCTATGATAACATTTAACCAAATCCCATTGAAGTCTGTATTAAAGCCATGTGTGTGTTTCAGTGCTGCCCTAAATAGTGATGGACTTAAGCACATGCTTAAGTGCTTATATTCTAGTACTGAAGATGGCAGCATTTAGAATCATGTTGGAATTAAAGCAGGTGGAAGAGGAAAATAGTCAGATCTGACACCTTTCCAGTGGAATACAGCATTCATTTTATGGTTCGGATGGGTTTTCAGTGTGTTGAATTTAAAACTGTTGTTTTACTGAGTCCAGTCGTGTGTGTGTGGGGGGGGGGGGGGTTGTTTTTGGTGTTTTGTTTTCGTCACTGGATGAGGGTGAACTATAACAAGTCTTTGACTTCTAGTAAAAGTAATTTTCATTCCCTGCACAAGGCTTTGACATAGTCACAATGTAACAGCATGATACAGAGTTACATCAGAACAAAACTCTGTTCAATGAAAAAACAAATTGACATCCAGGCCTTAGTGCTGGAATAATAAATAAAACCACCACAGTTGGCCTCTTTGCCGCTAGTCTCAGCCCAGAGCACCTCTCTTCTAGAAAAGTACCTTGTCAAAGCAGTGTCAGTGAAGATTATTGCTTTCTTACTGCCCATGACTGACTTGCTCTGGGGATGGATGTCTTCAGTCTTCAGTGTTGTCAGTCTGATGTATTTCACATGCATTAAATTCAGTCAAATGTTCACCTTTTTAAAAATGTAATAAAATGTTACTCTGCAGCATTCAGTGAAAGTTAAGACTTTTTTTGTTTTTGTTTTTGAACTGAGTAAGAGCTAAGCAATTAGCATATATGTACTCACCAATTTTGGTGTTTTGGTAGGAGGGCAGCATAATTTCTTTTCTGTATGTTAGTTTGGCTAAAACTAAATCCAAAGAAACTGTATAATATTGGATTCTAAGACTAGTTTGGTTAATGTCACCACAGATGTGTTGAATTACAAAGCATTGGTTATTGTGCCTGACTTGAGGTGTGCATTCCAATTTCAAGTTATTTGTGGGGATTTGGAGAAGTAACTTCTACTG